GGCCGACCGTCGGCCGACAGACGACCGACTGTCGGCCGACAGTTGACCGACAGTCGGCCGACAGGTTTTTTGGGGAGCTCTTCTTCACAATTACCAAACATTTGGTGTTGATCAAAACTGTGGTAAAAAGATGTCAATTCCTGTTCATGACAAGAAAATAAAAACTCGAGTGAGTAAGTTAGAAATAAATGATATGCCATTTTTACATGCAGTGGAAAATTGTGAGACATAAGTCAGGATTTTGGCCAACATATTTGCAGTAGAGTTAATTCCATTTAGTTTAGAATTTCAGATCATAGGTTGATTTAAGGTGGTACCGAAGGCTAAATTCATTCAATTATGTTTCAAATATTTGCAGACAGATTATGTGGAGGGACTTGAACTTTCCACATGTGATATATATGACTCTATACATAATCTGAGAAAAAACCTTTTATTTTGTTCAGTGCCAAGAAATTTGTGGAATTTGATGAAATTAAGGGATGTGTTCAAAAGGCCTTTTTGTAGAAAAACTTCCCTGAATTCCAAGCTACTTTTAATACTACTCAAAATGGTTTGGCTCATACACAAAGATGAAGGTAATAAAGATTTTCAGCAAAGTCTGTTGCATAGGCATAGTAGAAATGATGCTTTTTTAATGTTTACTTTATTCCCTTGCAAATCACGAAAGTGGTTCAGGGTCGATTGGAGGAAATAGAACGGTGGAAACTAAAGAAAAATAGATTAAATGACAAATGAACATAATCGATGACTAAAAGGAAGCTCAGGACAAAATTACTTACATTCTGTGCCACACGAAGTCGAAAAAGACATTACAAAATTCAATGAATTGCTACAAACACGTGTGAGAAAACTCACTTTTTTGTTTTTTATTTTTTTAATTTTTTTTTCAAATATTTTTTGTCATATGACCAAATGTAGGACTATGTAAACGACACAAGGTGTCCAAAAGAAAGAAAACCTAAACCATGACCAAAAAAAATGTCACATCCTAGTTTCAGTCTCAACACAGTCTGCCACGCAAAATTCAATTCTGACAACTTTATCCTCAAGAAACAAGAATTAATTAAGGCTGCTATCCGATACCTTCTCATCAGGACAATTTTTGGCAGATCAAGGTGGACTGTTCTGTAGATTTTCTCACCTGATGCCTTCCACATAATAACATTAAGAATTGTCGTTGAAGTGTATTCAATTTTTTTTTTCAATGTGATTTTCTGCTCTTAGTTCCAGCAGATATCAATGAAATTAGCAGTGAACAAACTGTTCATGAAGGGGACAACTTGCAGTTAACATGCAAAGCATCCGGTAAACCAGAACCAAACATCACCTGGACTAAAGAGAAGACAGGGAACCAAGGAAATACTGGTGTGTTACAAGAAGGAAAGGTGCTGACTATAAAAAAAATTAGCAGGAATGATTCAGGAACTTTCAACTGTACAGCATATAATGGTTTTGGTGAAGCAGATAGCCAAACAGTTTATGTGAATGTCACTTGTGAGTATGCATTGAAAAAACTCTAACTATGGTGCTAAACAGATAGGTAGTTTCTATTTACTTTTTTGTTGTAATGTGTGCTGTCATTTACTTGGATTGATGTGTGGCTTACATCCAGGTATTCAGAAGTTTTCACTTGCCTCTCATAGCCTAAACTGTAAGTGTGCTTAGAAGCTATACTGCTCCATTGTTTGTACAAGCAAAAATGAGCTCAAATATTTGAAGTATCACCTCTGTTGCTTTGGGAGTGTAAAGGGATTTGGACAAAAGATTAGTTGATGAATGTAGTCATTTAAATTCATTGTATTTGAAGCTCAGACAAGTAAACATACATTCATGAATGCAAGAAGATCACCTAATTGATGTTACATGCACACACGTGCTGTAGGAGAACTATATTCACACACATGTAAATCAATTCAGCTTACAGAACAAGAGACTAGATGAACAATTACCTCTTTGATGTACTTTTTAGCCATTAGTGACAATTTACTCACTGCATATTTGTTTTTATGCTGTTTTTTAAATCTGATTTTTATTTTCCAAATTGATGTACAGATCCACCCAATATTGTTAAATTTCAAACCAATTATTTTGTTGGTGTGCAACAAAGTGTAACTCTTAACTGTGAAGCAGAAGGAAACCCTCCGCCTACTTGCACTTGGATTCCATGTGACTCAGATCAAGTTTGTGACAAGAATACTCTTCATACTTCACAAGTCTTTAATGATGCCAACTATACCTGCAGAGTTGCCAATGCACTTGGAGTTGATTCAAAAACTGCTAATGTTTGTAAGTCAAATGTACATTGTAGTCATGCACTTGAATTTGAAAGCAAAAAGTTCACTTTGATATCAGCAACTGATTTAATTTTCCCCTACATTATTTTGCTTCATTATAAGAACATTTTCAAAATTTTACCAGACTGTTTCTCTTGTTCATGCTTAGAAACAAGGACAACAACACAATTTTTCATTTTACAAGCAATCAACACAATCCACCAATGAGAAATGCGAGGAGAATTTGACCAGTTCCCAGGATCATATAGGCTATGGCAGAAACTTGTAACAAGCCACTTACTGAATTGTCTCTGAGGTTAAATGATCTTAGAATGATCCTAAAGTTTTCACAAAACCCTGGTTTTCAAATGGAATACCTGTATCAATAGAAAGATTGAGCAAATCCCTTAGTAATAATTTTTCTCCTACTTCACAGACGTTGGAGGAAATGTGATTAACATAACTATTGTCATCACAAGTGAAACATGTATAGATGAAAAATTCAAGCAATTCTTATTACTGGAGAAATTTAAAGAACTGGTAATTTAATGTACATATAACTTAGATATTGCCATCAACGCTATTAAATAAACCTATACTAGTTTACATAGGAGGAATTTTTTCCCACAAGTAAACTGTGTGCTTGTGTTTAACGTCACTTGATCTGTTTAATTGTTAATTATAGTTGTCACTGAGTGTTGGTTACTTCAGGGTCAAAGACTGGTGTGCTAGCTGTATAATGATTAATAGGAAATTTGGCTGGTGGAGAATGTGAGGAGAATATTTCATTTAATTCTACAGTGTTTCTTGATTGCATTGATTGCATCTTGATTGTTTCCTAGATTGCATGCAGTTTGTCAGAGTTTTGTTAAATCTTGAACTTGAAAAGCTTGTCACAATCTTCTTATTATTCAGTGTTTACTCATGGTCTTTATTCAGGGCATTAAGAGGCCTGGTGCTTTCTTTTCACATTAAAATATGAGGCAAGTGACAAGAAGAAGAACAATTTTTCATTGAAGTATCACTTTAAAGAAACCACTGATTAATACTTAGAGACTGATTCTCAGCAAAACAGCCATGTTCAATTTAATAGATAATACTTGGTGTCTTCCTCATTTGTTCTTACGTGTCATACATAAACCATAACATTTTAAGATAAATGATTAAATTGCTTACTTGTACTTGCAGCTTGAGGGGGCTTTTGCTGATAAACTGGGCTATGAAGGAGTGCAGTTGATAGGTGTTAAGTATGTGAATTAATGGGATTTAGAAATTTTATTATTTGCTCTTTTGTTATCTCTTTCCCACTTCATGTCACTCTAACCCTCAGTCTATGTTTGTCCCAAGGTGTGGAAGTATCATTGTTGACCTTGCACTGAAGTTCAACTCCACTAAAAGGGAACAAGATGTTATCACAACACTTAATGACGCTGTAAAAGATGGAAAGCTGGGAGAGTTCAGAGTTGGTGCCATAAAAGGGAAGAGACCTGATCTGGAACCAACAGGTGGAGGTGTCACATCACCACTTGACGTGTCCTATGGGGGTAAGTCCTCATAACACTTCATACAAAAGTTTTGTCAGTTGATTAGGGAATGTCATTGCCCTTTAGTTGGTTGGAAGCGTAGTTTTTTCGGTGGGAATAAAGTTTTTTGAAAGTTATTGTATTTAACTCAAAATTGGTACTGTAGCAGGTTTATACAGAGATTTGGAAACTTGGTGTATAATGGTAATGATAACAATGACTACCACAACCAGCCCCAACTTGAGCACTAATAGGACAGTGAATGCATCATGTACGTGCGCTTTTGTTGTGCATTTCGTCAAGTTAACAGTTGATTTCTATGCAAACATGTAACAAATGCTTAATATGTTTCCAATATCTCCTGCTTTATGTTTACTTAAATTCACTTTTGCTCGGTAGTTTTAGAACATGGTTCATTTACATCTTTTTTTCTGAGATGGTAAATAGGAAAAAATGTGTGGCCCACATGAGTCCAAACAAATAGCAGCCATGCTTATTTTCCTTAAATTAATCGAGTGTATTTTTGTAGAATCTTCAGAGCTTCCAAATGGGACGAAAACAGGTAAAGCATTTTTTAATGACAAATACCGGACTTTGTAAATGTTCAGCAACGAGTAACTTAATCTGATTTAGTACTCTCTAGACACCTATGACTTTTAGTTTCCTAAAAATAATAATTGAAAAAAAAAAACGATTAGTGTCCAACTGAATCAAGCTTTAAGTTTTGAGTCTGAGGACAAAATTTTGCTTGTGTTACATACCAAACACTCTTACATCTTTCTGTTGCAGGGAACAATTTTGTAGCTTAACTTTTAATGACCTTTAAATATTTGTAATGGTGACAGATTATAATCTTGGTTTTCTCTTTTTTCTGTTTCATTTTGTCTGTGCAACCAACCCTGGGCGCGGAAAAAGGTGAGATCTGACTATGCCCCATTTTATGTAAAAGATTAAGGAGTGGGCGGCTCTATCTTATTTTTGCTGTGGATAACTAATCGGAAGTTGTAGTTTAAGAGCTTGTGAAGAGGGAAGAAATATTCAATATTAATTATTCGGTACTTTTTTTAACCTTGCAAGAGTAGAGTTTGTATCCCCATCTTTTTCTGAACGAGTACTTAATTACGCATTGCAGCTTGTTAAGTTCCATACATGTAATGAATTGTTAAACACAAAATTGTGGCAAGAAGATAAACTGAGTTCTGACTGAATTCCAAATGTTTCCTCACCATAACAGGAGTACAGAGGCAGATTCTTTATGATAAGATCATGGATAAAAGATTTTCTGACGTTTATCACGCATTGTAGGTACCATAGGTATTGTTGTTGGTGCAGTGTTTGGATCAGTTGTTGCACTGGTTGTTGCTGGAATATTAGTTTGGTGGAATTGCAGGAAAAAGAGGCACAACACAAAAGGCATTGAAGGTAAGTTTTGCACATATGTTTTGCTCTCAAATGAACACTAGTTTTGGCATCCTAGATATATATCTTTAACACAATTCCTTTCTTCTAGGACTAAGTGTAATGTTTAGTTCACTATCCGCTGAGTTATGATCTTTGCTGAAGCTATTTCTATATTTTTAACAGATAACTTTTATAACACTGTATTGTAAACTAATAATTTGTTTTGCTGTTCTCTACTTTGTGGTTAGCCAGTTACAGTTAACAGACCTCGCATGACGTTTGAACACTTTAAGACTCAACTTAATGCACATAAAACAGACTTGACTTTGCTTGTGAGAGATAAATTTTGCTTCAGGTTGATTATTTATTGTTTTGTTTTGTTTCGGTTTGCTTTTTATTTTTCTGTTTTGTTTTCTTTTTTTTACCACAGAGGCGGCGATGAGTGGAAGGTGAGACTTTTTAACGAATTGTTGCTCTTTACTTACGTTCTTCCTTTATGGCTCGATCGTTTTAACAATTTTAACAGCCCTGTTTTCCATGTGAATGTTTGTGATTGATCAAATTACCACTAACTTTAAGGCACTCTTGCGCAGTAGTGATACCGCTATACACTTTTGGACGATAAATTTAATAGTTGCCACTTATACAATAACCGACATTTTAATGATCTGTAAAAAAAACTGGAAATAAAAAAAAAACAAAAACAAGAACAGCAGCAACTTTTAAGTGTATTTAGGTTAAGTGTATTATCTGTGTGCGTGCGTGTGTGTGCGTGTGTATATATATATATATATATATATATGTAGATATATAGATTGATAGATAGATAGATAGATAGATAGATAGATAGATAGATAGATAGATAGATAGATAGATAGATTGATTGATTAATTGATTGATTTGTTACTAGAACTCTCAGGCTAACAAAGGTGCACCACACCAGGAGGATCAATAAAGATTCGCAGTCCAAACCTCACAGCAAATACGAACGTAGAGAGTTAAAAAAAATGCGAGGATGGACAACTTCTGACGTACAAAAAATAAATTAATTAATAAAAACGTTTCGATCAGAGACCTTCTTCAGTTATTTACAACTTTTGAATGAAAAACCGCTTTAAATAAGATCGAGGTGCTAGTGATTACGTAATTACAGGTGACAACTGATGAATAAGATACAAAATCGCGTGAAAGAGCGGAAAGTGGTGTTAATAAAAAGATGACAAAAACAAAATCAACAAAGCGAAAAAATACTTGTTGATTTTGTTTCTAGCACCTCGATCTTATTTAAAGCTCTTTTTTATTCAAAAGTTGTAAATAACTGAAGAAGGTCTCTGACCGAAACGCTTTTATTGAATTTTTTATCTCTTTTACGTCAGAAGTTGTCCATCCTCGCATTTTTTTAACTCTCTACGTTCGTGTTTGCTGTGAGGTTTGGACTGCGAATCTTTATTGATCCTCCTGGCGTGGTGCACCTTTGTTGGCCTGAGAGTTCTAACTGAGTGGATCCAATACGGTCTGTAATCATTCGAGTGATTTTAAAAATCGGACGACCGCAGGGCAGGAGTCCGATTTGATAATTACAAGGTAATCAAAAGTTGGACATAATTTAAGAAACTATTAAAAAACAACGGGTAGCTCAATGAAGTACACGACATCAGCGCACGCACATGACACGAACTATTCAATAACTCAGCCCATGAACAAGCATGACGATTACACTGTGCTATTAGTGCCCAAATTGAGCTTGTGATAACCAATCACGTTCGCGAATTTTTATAGTTTTGATTATTATTACTATTATTATCATTCTTGTTATCTTTGCCATTATCAATATTATCATTATCATCATTGCTCCAAAAGTATTCTTTTACAGTTGTAGGTTACTGTTGAGGTAGTGTCTATGGTTGACAAATTTGTAAAGCCTTGAGAAAGAAATTTTAGTTAATCTGACCTTAATACTGTTATTGTTTACCATATATTTAGAAGGTTGATAAGGATAAAGTCTGTGTTTCTTCGGTCTCAGGAAATCACTCTGAGTACATGATATTTGTCTCCACTGCTCGTAACTAGGGAAAATGAAACTTTCAATACTTAAATGCAGAGGATGCGAAACCCTCTCTGGCTATTAAAATAAACGTTCCCTTAAGATAATCACATATATGAAGCTTAGGGCAAGTCTACCCTGCTCATAAGGTCTGACTGTAGGGGAAGGGTATAGCTACAGGTAGGCTATGACTGTAGCTGAGCCTTTATCTGGTTTCCAGCAGCTTTTCCGACTGGACTAAGCTGTCTGGTAAGTTTTCTGTTATTTAGGATCTTGCTGTTAGAGAGAATTGGGTTTGTTTTGTAATATATTTGATTTGCTGTTTCAGAACATTTGGAAATTCAAGTAATGAAACAAGAGGAAGTACCGATGTAGGTTATGTGATGAAATCTTATACCTTCATATATAGAGACATTTTCCTGTAGTCCTAGGTGTGTTTTGTTTTTATGTCGCTGTCTTTACTGAGTCTTCCCACTGCAGTTTACAGTTTACCCGAACCCAGAAAGCTATGATTGATACAGATTTTTAAGTCGACTATTCATTGGTATTTTCGAGTAAGTCTTAGTAAATAGTGTTTTTTTTTTCATAAAACACCTGGTTTGAAGATTTGAAATACTTTCTAAGCAAGTTGGGTTGTTTATCATCTTTTATTGAATTGAAAACAATTTTGTCTTTAAGATTGCAGTCGAATTGCATACTTGTAAACCTTCTCAAAGCCATTACATGGCACTGGATGACAGAACTTGTTCACAATTGATGGCAGATGCCAGCCCACTCAGCACTGAACAAATCAGTGAGTACGCCTCTCTTAACCCGTACACACGCTCCTGGGAGACTCTTAGAGAACATGTGACGATAAACCAGATTATTGGAAAAGGTGCTTTTGGTCAGGTTGCCAAGGCAACAGCCGTTAACCTACGAGGAAAAGCCAAGAAGACGCTCGTAGCAGTTAAAATGTTGAAAGGTACCAAGTCATGTTTTCCTTGGTCGTTGAACTGACTTAGAAGTCTGTTCAAATTGTTCCGTTTTGTTTTATATTGTTTTATTGTGATTTTAACCATATGCTTCTGCATAATTTCCAAGTTCCCTACTAGAGTAATCGCACTCTATATGACCAGTCCACAGTTATGTCCACAGTTATGTCCATAGCTTAAAGCTTGTTCTACTTGATGTAGCGATGGATTTTAAGATGCAATGTAAATATACCTACTTAAATAATAGCTACATTTTAGAGCCTCGGCGCTTTACGTTGACGAAGAAAAGCACCTTAAGTGTGATGTACGGTAGAGTCGAATGATGTCTCTTTATCTATCTATCTATCCGTCTGTCTGTCTATCTGTCTATCGATCTATCTGTCTGTCTGTCTGTCTGTCTGTCTATCTATCTATCTATCTATCTATCTATCTTTCTATCTATCTATCTATCTATCTATCCATCTCTCTGTCTGTCTGTCTGTCTGTCTGTCTGTCTGTCTGTCTATCTATCTATCTATCTATCTATCTATCTATCTTTCTATCTATCTATCTATCTATCTATCTATCCATCTCTCTATCTGTCTATCCGTGTGTTTGTTTGGAGCATATTTATTCGTAAACTTTCACATTTAACCATTTCCAATTTATTCGAGTTCATTCAAGTCCTTTCATTTTAATGAGTCAAAAATGTATGAAAACCATAGTTGCTTTTTGAATATATTTTGCTTGTTACTTGCTTTCTTCATGCACCTGCATGTCAGCACTTTCGTTATTTATTACATGGTTTTTTTTAGGTAAATAAAAGTGTTAACGGTCTTTCTGGAAAAATTGGTTTTCATGGTAGTTAGCAGCTGAGTTTATACTCGTAACTTTAATTTCTTTTCATACGATAGTTTCCACACCAACTTTGCATAGATAGGCAGAAACTTTTAATTGCTCTTCCGTTTTTATTTCCCAAGCTGCACTACTGCAATTAAGATAGGTATTATTTTCTATACCAGAACTGTGAATTCGTACCTAGGTTTCCTATTTTTAATGGCCTCGAGTTTATTGTATCCGTCCTTTTAATTTTGAGATTATTTTCGTCGTAGAAACAGATGGAATATCTAAGTAGTGTTCGTTTAACTTCAAAGAGACTTTTTTCCGCTCCTTAGTGTCCTTATTCAAATATTGCGATTTGTGTAACAATAGCACCTCACACCAGTTAGTTCTTAAGCAAGTACCTTGTGCAGCTTTGATGATTACAAACTTGAGTACGCTAAAGGTCATGTCGCTTGTTGACCTAACCTAGAATATAAGTCTACTGTGGAACCAAAACGCTATCTCATCCTTGACGTTCGTACAAGCTCACTCGAAGTAGATCTCCGTGTACCAGGAAATCGTGACGAGTTTCCGTTCTCGTAAGCTGATTGGTCTCTACCGAGTTGATTCCCCCCGTTTGTACGTTTCCCGCAAGTTCAGTCTAGAGTGCTATATATCGGTCTCTCTATCCATCTATCAATCAGTCTGTATGTCAGTCTATCTATTCTATCTATCTCTTCTTCTATCTATCAATCTACCTGTCTATTGATTTATCCATCTGTCTACGTTTCCTAATATTATGTTACAGTGTAACGATATTATTGTGATTCATTTGAAATGTTATTCAACAGTAATTGATCCGAATATCCTGTTGCAGAAAACGCTTCTGAATCAGAGAGAAAGGATTTGCTGTCTGAACTTGAATTGATGAAACAACTTAGACCTCATCCTTACGTTATCAAACTTCTGGGATGCGTTACCAAGTCTGGTAAGTACTGAAATGTTTATTATCAGCTGTGGTTACAGACAAACAAATTAGGTTTTAAAGTATAGATAAGATTCGTTTTTCTCGGGATGTTGGTGATTTAGCATAAGATATCTTTCCTCTTAATTTATATAGCATACCGTAATAATTTGATTTTGCGCCCGAGGCGCTTATTTACTTTTGGTAGGTAAGGGGAGGGTGCTTATTTGAAAAAGGACGGTAATCAGGGACAGGGCGCTTATTTTTTTTCTAAGAACCAACAGAGTGTGCAAAACAAAGCTTTAAATGAATATTTATTTGAAAAGGATAAAAAAATGTTGTTTTTCCTACATCCTTCAAAGAACAAAGAGAGAAGCAAACGCGGCAAACATTTTATTCGTTTGAAAGAACTGTGTTCTCGCATGGACATAATAGTTGAGACACTGAGAGGAAGCTCACTGCTTTTGTAATGAGGCCACATGTGGAGAATAAAACGAAGATGAACCACGGTTGATCTCAAAGTACATGTACTCTAACAGTGCTATCGCTGAAACGGAAGAGGGACGCTTATTGGAATGAGACTGCTTATTGGAATAAGGGTGCTTCTAAAGAAGAAAAAACAAATTCGAGGGGGGTGCCCTTTAAAGAGGGGGCGCTTATTGAGTACAGTACTCAACATTTTACACTTTGATAGGGTATCCAGTCGTTTCGTAAAAAGTAACTGTCTTGAAATCAATTCTCAGAGTGTCACTCTCATGGTACCTTATTTACTCGATTGAGTAACCACCATTCGCCCTATCATTTCATTATCCATTATTTCCATTTCTGTTAACTTTTGAAAAAATCGGCTGACCGACGCCTAAAGCTTGGGCATATTATATTCTTGCGTGCACGTGTGAGGTCTCGATAGAGTTTATATGACAGCAAAGAAGTAGTCACAGTTGTATACTGTCCGCTGAATAGCAGTGTGTGTATTATCAATAAGTGAGAAATAAGATCAGCAAAATTTACTGGTGGACCAAGAATGGACCGATCTTCAGAGCGGGCGGACGCAACTTTTTAATGTCTCCGAGTCTTTCGCTCAAAATGGCTTAAGAACTTCCCCAGACGCCAAAAGCACTAATTATGACAGACCAAACGGGGAACAACGTTCCAGAGACAGGTCGAAAGAGGGCCAGGAGAAAAGAATCAGACTCACAAACCGAAGATAATGAAAGCTGCGGCGGTTTTCGCAATATGGCCGACACTTTTACCGAGATGAACTGTAAAATTGACCTGGTTCTGGCGCGGATGGAAGAAATTGACGCGATTAAAGAAAAGCAAAAGCAGTTGGATAAAGTAAGTTCCGAGCTGGGAAAAAGCCTCGAGTTCGCTCACGAGTCTATCAAAATTCTGACCGTACAAGTTGACGCGTAAGCAAAGATGATCTGTGAGCTCGAGAAAGGTGTGAACAACTTGACAAAAAGTGCCAGCTTTTAGAAGGAACGCGCAATAAAATTAGAGACCCATAGTCGGAGAAATAATTTGATATTTTTTGGTATTCCTGAAGAAGTGAAGGAAACAAGCGCCAAGACCGAATCGCTGCTTTACTCCTTTCTAGGAGACGAACTGAAGTTGAAAGAAGACGACATTGACGGAATTTGAAGAGAACGTGCTCATCGACTTGGTAAACGAAATGTAAATGGTGAGAAGCCGCGCCCGATCATAGCAAAGTTTAGTTTCTACAAGAATAAATAATTCATACTATCTAACACTCTTATTCTCGCTGGAACAGTTTTCGGAATTTCACAAGATTTCCCCCGAGAGATTGTGGAAGTACGAAGAGGCTTAGTGTAAGTCTTAAAAGAAGCAAAGAAAGAGGGGAGCGACGCCAAATTGGTGTATGACAAATTATACATCAACGGTCAGAGATACCACGATCATGAACAGACAACTTTGTTAATAACGAGAATACTCTTATGACAAGAGGCTCGACATTTCTTCACCGAAAGACGTGCTTTGGCTTGTCTTGGAAACTTTCTCAATCAAAGTGTGTCTTTTAAGGTTAATGTAATTGGGTTTGTTACAGATGCATATTTGTTTAGCCATGTTTATATTTCTTTTGTGTTCCTATTTTGGTGTTCAGGGTATCTAGTGGGAAAATCTTTTATGTATGAAACCCAACTAGTTTATTTAAGTTTCAGTAGAGCTTCCAATGTCTAACATACGAGGCTTGGGCAACAATGAAAAACGAACAGAAATTTTTCAGTGGTTAAGAAAGAAAAAGTTTTCTATTTACATGCTGAAAGAGGTTCATTGTACTGAAAGCTCCTTTGAGACTTGGGCCGCTGAATGGGGCTATGAAGCTTTTTTCAGTGGCCTTGCTAGTAACAAAGCAGGTGTCACTATCCTCTTCAATAACGACTTTACCTTCAAGGTTTTGAGGTAAATATGTGATAAGGAAGGAAGGTACATTATTATTGATTAAGAAGTCGGTGAGCTAATCTTAACCATCTGTAATATTTATACCCCTAATGAAGACGACCCTATTTTCTTTCAAAATGTACGTGAACAAATGATAATGTTTAGGTGTGAGGAGATCATTCTTAGGGGAGATTTTAATCTTGTTATGGATGTCACAAAGGACAAAAAGGGTGGGATATTAACGACGCACCGAAATTTCTTGAAAGTGATTCAAAATATTCGAGATAATCTTGAAACGGACCAATTTGGAAATTAAACTCATCACTATTGGAGGAAATGGATTGTGTAAACAATATTTAATCGGCAATTCTTGAAACGGTCAACCAATACGAAAGTGACGAAACAGTAGACGAAGCGTTGTTATGGGAAATGATTAAGAGAGTCTCTGTAAGAGTGGTCCGGTCGATTTTGCTTGAGGCACGGATTTCGCTCATTTCTTGTGTGTTCTAAGACATTCATGTACCTATACTAAAACTACAATCCGTTTGATCGGATCTCTTTATTTTTCAGAGTTTTACGGAAATCAAATTTCACTCGAGCGAAGGCTTGTCGCGACACTTTTCAAGACTTTAATTTAAGACAACTTTGGAGGACAATTTACAAAAAACTACGGAACTCAGGAAAAAACAAATACCACTGCCATGTATATTAACTCTATCTTATCCATCGAGGCGACTTTCGTGAACATCACGATTCAATCCATGAGGGGACGCAAATCGTCTGCACTGTAAGTACATATCAAGCTCTGTAGGTGATTTAATGCCATTTTAATCCCATCCGATCTCACAATTTAAAAAAACTTCATTATTCTTGTGAAAAATGATAGCCGTCTTATTGAAACTTGATGACAGGTATAAGCCGGCAAAGAAAACAGTGCAAAAGCAATTATCTGTCACATCGATGTCAGCAGCAACAGGATTATGACACCTTACAGTCCCCATACATTTTCTTAGACTAAAAGTCTAAGAAAATGTAGGGGACTCTCCGGGATACTTACAGTACAGACGATTTGCGTCCCCTCATGAGCAAACAGGAAGACTTGAATGATACCTTATCGGTTCGTCTAAGTCACACACGCCAAAACCAATCAAATTCAAGGTAAGTTTTTGAAAAAGTGAGGCGTTTTTAACTGATCCAACTAACATAGGTAGGAAGTAGGTGCCATAGAAAAGGTAACTGCAGAAAAACACTTTGCGGCACGACCTTTACGAAAACTTTATTATTCCGTAAACTCTTCGACTCGAATGTGAAGCACGAATCAAATAACGTAACTGCTTCATTTTCGAGGCAACATCACTCTGGTATTTTGATTTTCTGATCGACAAGAATGGTGATCAGGTAGCGATCGCCATGTTTACCTCATAAACGTGATCGCTGACCAGCCGCTAAGTGAAAACAGTACGGGTCAGTGGTGAGGGGCGGGGTGTGGGGTGGGTGCGGGCAGATTATTGGAAGATTTTTGGGAATAATCGTACATATGCATTAAAGTATCATAATAAGCATTAAGACTCAGTCTTAATGCGAAGGCATGCTTCGTGTTGCAGACAACTTTTGTTTTGCTTAGTATTCTTTTTCTTTCAAATACATTTCGTTCCAAATAGGACTGACATCAATCCATAGAGTTCTAAACAAATCTTTACCATGTAAATAAATGTGCTTAGATAATCGAGATAACCATTGAACCTCTTGTATCGCATCAGAAGTAACGTGTCTTGTCTTTGCCCAACTCTGAGAGCGTGGAGCGGCACAGACGTGAGACACGAGTCTCGCGTCTCGCGGATTCTCCATGCTCACAGGATACGCGTGACTTCACTATCTTTAAGAAAAATAAGAGACTGCTCGGAGTCTGTATTCCGTTCAACCATTTTATGAGAGTGACGCGAGTCTTTTCACTTGAGTGAAAAAGTCCCAAACCCATCCTTAACCTCACGAGCATAACCACTGACCACTCACGAATTACAGTAGGCTTCTCCTTTGGCGTGGAAATTGAAATTGTATCGAGTATACAAAGTTATAGTGAGTTCCTTTAGATCTCCCGAACTTGCATCGCGTTGAAAACAATTACAAGTACAGGAAGAAGTCGTTTGTTAGCGAGACGTGAACTTACCTAATTTTCGGCAATCTCCAAGTTTGGCCGCCCTTTTGAGGGGCTTGTCAACATGAAGCGTAGCAGATATAAATCAAGCAGGTAAATCTAAAACCGTCAGAAATACATACGAAAGCAATTCAAATGAACTGTATTTTCAATTCAAGTGGCAAAATTTGAAATTGTTAGTTGAACTTACCATTCTTACATCCCCATACGACCATTTCTTCCAACAATTCAAACACTACAACTGGTGTTCGAATTCCTCTCGTCGATTCCACCGTAAGAAATAACCTGTGCCACCCAAGCTTCGACTCAAATGTGAAGTACGAATCAAATAACGTAACTGCTTCATCTTCGAGGCAATATCACTCTGGTACTTTGATTTTCTGATCGACAGAACCGGTGATCTGGAAGCGATCGCCCATGTTTACCTCATGAACGTGACCGCTGACCAGTCGTTGAGTGAAAACAGTCTAGCGCGGGGTGGGATGGGTGGCGGGCTTATCGTCATGAGATATTCGAATACATGCTTAAAAAGCTTTAGGACTCCCAGTCTAAACGGTGAAGGCATGCTTCGTGGTACAGAAAATTTTTATTTCATTCTCATAACTTTCTCCTTCAAATTAGAACTGGTATTAATTAATAGAGTTATCAATATATATTTTTAACCTGGGTACCCATACCCATAACCTTAATGTAGTTAATGTAAGTATCATGTTGTAAAAAAATAAATAAAATGAAATAATGAATAATAAATTTTAAAAAAAAAGAATGGGCCGAGACCAAAACAACGTGCTTAAGGTTTGCACACGTTGCAAATATGAGCCGGTCAGATAAGAATATTCTACAGGGCGGGAATCGGTAGTAGATCATGAAGATAAAACGTGACCTGCTCTAAATAAAAGTTTAATAGGATATCAGTTCAGTGGCATCGACATTCTATCCCTTCACAATTGATTTTCTGAGTAAAAACTTCTGGTTACATTGCATCTAGTATAGATTTACAAGAATTGTGAATATTACCGAATCATACGGTAGTTGGATGACGTTATACGTTAAAAAAAAATGTTCTCTTCCAAGTGGCTGTTGTGTTTATTATCTAACCCTTTGTTTGTCTCCCTAGAGCCACTGTTTGTGCTGATCGAATATGTTCCTTTTGGGGATCTGCTGGGTTACCTGAGAAAGAGCCGTGGATTGAATGATACGTACTATAAAGACCCAGATATCAAACCACATACAAATTTGACCTCACAGCAGCTGATTAAGTTTGCTTGGCAAATCGCTGATGGAATGTCCTATTTGTCATCGATACCAGTGAGTGATGTAACTATTCTTTGAATGACTTTCCTGTAGAATAACACTTTATCTGTTATTCAGTATACCTCACTTTTCATTGAATCGTGGACTCACTGCCCAGGATGTCATCCCATGTCAGCTGAGTCACCCTCAAGTCTCTCGTTTCTTTAAAGGGTGTTTTCCAAAAGAAACGTTTTCTCTTTGTATAAGGTTATTCATAGAGATCTTGCAGCTCGTAACGTGTTGGTTGGAGAGAAGGAAACGTGCAAAGTGACGGACTTTGGAATGGCCAGAGATGTGCAGGAGGACAGTATTTACGAAAGAAAAACCAGGGTATGAATGATTTTAAGAAAACATATAATGTTCTTGTAAGGCTGAAGATGCCTCACTGGAGTGACTGCTTAAAGGAACAAGCTCAGTAAATCCTGTTCCGTTCTCAGGAACTTTCGTTCCAGTAGTGTCGCCATTGGGAGCATTAGTACTTTTCAAGGACTACGTCAACTCCTTGCTTTTCTGATTCTTACTCAGGGGCGTCTCCCTGTAAAATGGACTGCCATTGAGGCGTTGCTTTACGGAAAATATTCTACCAAGAGTGATGTGTGAGTACAAGGAAGACATGAACACTGCAGTAAGGCTTAATGAGAATGATTTTGTACGAACTGTTTAAGGTCAGCCAAAGGTTATTTGATTACTTTTGTGTCTTGGTCTTTTTATTTCGCTGGTGTGAGGTCATCTTAGTGAGGGATGGCTATCCTCATTTTTTTATGGGCTGTGACTAGGGATCCACTCCTATGACCTGTTTACTGTACACGTGTCCTTCCGCACCCTATCCCCCCTTCCCTTTACTACCGAAGATGTTTTAATTACATTATTTGCAGGGAAGTAATGTTTTACTTCATTAAATTTATCCCGTTTGTTTTATAGGTGGAGCTACGGTGTTCTCCTCTATGAGATTTTCACGATTGGTAAGTTACCAAGATACTTGTCCAGTAATTTTAGCCTCAGGAATTGAGGGAACAGGAAGTCATGAGGTAAGCAGGGTGTACCAGTCTCTGTAGAAGTGGTTTTTAGTTATACCATGCCAGCTTAGATTGCCACAGTCGCTAGCATTAGCCCGGAAAAAAATTACTAATGGAAATACATCTGTAGAGCCTTTCATTTTAGAGTATGTTAACATTACCCGCTCTATTCAGGTGGTTCACCGTATCCAAGGATGGATGGAAGAAAAATTGTAAACTTACTTCAAGAGGGATACAGAATGCCTAAACCACAACATGTGGATGATAAGTTGTATGTTAATATCGTGTTGTTACTGTTTTCGTGATGGCTTTCATCGTATAGTAGAGTTTGTCCTGCTTTTTGTTTGAGTTGCATTTGAGCGTTAAGATTAAATCATCTTTACTTGTTGAACCAGCCTAACGAAGGGAAACGAAAGAAGAAGTAAACCATCACGAGTTGATCTCTGTTGCATAAATCTTTTGTCCTTTTTTATGAAAGGATGGAAATCTTTGAACTAAAAGCTTGTTTCTTATTAAACTTTTTTTGACGTCCCTTTAGGTATGACATAATGAAAAAATGTTGGAAAGACGACCCTAACTTGAGACCATCTTTTAAATATTTGAGGAACGAACTCAAAGAAATGGAAGACCAGCACAAGGTAGAATTGTAGATTTTACAAAGAGACTCTCTCTGTTTTTTTTCTTCTCAAAGTTTGATTGTTGGAATCTGCCACCATCAACTTAATTTGATAACGGTGTTACCATGAAGGTTTCGAAGCGTAGTTTATGGTGTTAATCTATTTCGCTTTTAGAGCAGTTTTCGATTGAGTTTCGAAAGTGGAAATCGAAACTGAAAACTAAAACTAATCTCAGCTTGATCACACACGTTTTCTCGCGCTTTTAGGAGGTTGTCGGATTCTACTTTGAGTTCTCATTGGTTAATGTTGATGTTCACCTTTGTTCTGATTGATAGATATGAATACTTTGGGTTTAGTCTTTCTAGGATTAGGGTTAGTTGGTTTTTCGACAATCAATTTAAAACTTCTATATCTAAAATTAATTGTATAAGCAATGTACTCTCTTTCAAGGTCAACAAAGTATAGTATAATTTAGCAGGTAATTTAGTGACAACTGAGTTGAAAACGTAAATTAGCCACCGTAAAGGGTAAAAAAGCTGACGTTTCGAACATCAACCCTTCGTCAGAACGATTTTTCATTAAAATATGTCGCCACGATACCGACAAACTTAAATTCAATCATAACACCAAATTTTCCAATGAAAAATTGGAAAATTTGGTGTTACGATCATTACGAAAATCATTGGAAAATTTGGTGTTACGATTGAATTTAAGTTTGTTGATATAGTGGCGACATTTTGACGAGGGGCTAACGCTCGAAACGTCAGCTTTTTTACCCTTTACGGTGGCTAAGTTACGTTTTCAAATCAGTTGTTTACACTAAATTACCTGCTATACTCTCCCACCGACACAGCACCACAGTTTCTTTAGAAACTTACCCCTTTATAGTATAATTTATACCCATTTTTCTTTCTCTTGTTTCTTATTTTTTACAGAGGCTGATAAACTTAAAAAATTACGATGATCGACTCTACGTTAATGTCGACGATCTTGCCGTGTGAGCGAGTGGCGCCCTATGGCATCATCTTTTTTCCTTATACATTTCACATTTACCCATTCTTTTTGCTGAGTAACCTAGTCTTCAAACAAGCTGTTTGACAGCGAAGCGAGGCAAAGTGCAGCTTCTATATATTCTTATATATTTTTAAAACTTTTAGTCTTGGAAAGGCAAACGATTTTGTATTAACGAGTTTAAAAGCTGCAAACCAAACTTTTCCCCTAGCGTTTTTTTTTTTTTAAAGTTGTTTTTGTACACAAATAATGTATTTTATTCTAAAATGTGCCTACGAATCCACGCAAAAGATATTCCAATATTATCTGCTGTCCCAATCGTTACATTTTAAAATTTGGCGGATGAATGTTTTTGTCGTAAAAAATTCCTTTATTGATTAAGGTGTCGTGATAGGGAAAACAGTCATACTTTTTGAACCAGCTATTTAACCATGTTTTGATGGTGTTCATCAAGAAAAGTACGTTTTTTGCCATGTACTGATCAATTTCATCACAAAGCTTTAACTTTTATGAAGCTCTCTAAATGGTTGCTATGGATTTATAATGGCCTTGTTATTCTGTAAAAATAAAGAAAAACAATTTAAAAAATGAAAGGGCTCACTCACTTTCTATCGATTTTCATTATCCAGCGACATATTCTTTTGTTTTCACTTGGAATTTTTGACAATGAAAGTCGTGATAAGACGTTGTCACTTTTAAACTGTACATCTTGTAAGTCTTGCATTTCAATGAAACAAAATTAAAATTATCAGCGAAAGCTTCAAGCGATTATGGCATTCGATCGAGAAGCTGATGACTCAGGAATTTAACAATAATTACAAACAGACCTGCAATTTCACAAACTTTCGGTTATTCATGCTTCAGACGGAATTAAACATGAAAATATACAGAAAGCCTAGCCACACTCTCCTAAAACGGGCTTCAGAGCGCTCAACCACAAGTAAAACCAAAAGTAAACTATGACATGAGTCCAGGAAGTCTTCGAACACAGACGTATTTCCGCCTCTTAGTGCCTTCGATCTCCCAGGCTCCGCCTTAAGAAGAAATGTAAACGAACACTGTGTGTTAGTAGTTAATAATTGTTGACATGAGACGAATGAAATCTAAGAGGGCTAAGACTAAAGCTCTGAATATCTACATTACATCTCGCTTTTAATATTACCATACAGTTAAATGAAATGTAAATCGACACGTTTTTGGTATTTTTTGGCCTTTACCGGCCGTTTGAAGCGTCTTTTTACGAAATCACTCATGGCCGGAGGCCTTTAAGAGAACTTTATTGAAGTATTCAAATCGAAATGTAATCTAGATATGCTACTTTCAGAGCTTTACTAACAATCCTCATAGAATTTGTTCGTCTCATGTCAACAATTAACAACCACGAACACACAAAGCTTTACTTAGACGGCGTTGCCAAATTATGGTCGGATCAGATCACGGATCGGATTACGGATCATGGATCAGATTATGTTAAATAAAATTAGGAATTTTGCGTGACAAGCCAAATAACGTCTGCGTGACAAAATAGAGTGCAGGCCCTACTGGAAGACTTTTTCGCCCAAAAACCTCACGGATCGGATCACGGTTCGAAAAACGAGGAGTTTTCAAAACTAAACCAATCAAATCGTTTATGAAATAATAAAGAGTTGAAGAAAAGGGGTGTGAAAAAATTAAAATATTTGCAATGAAAACTAGATGTTGCGTAACAAGCCAAACTAAAGTCTACGTGACATAATGAAGCGCAGGCTGATTTGAAATTTCTTTTTTTCCCGAACTCCATGTAGTCTCTTTCACCGGTGTGTCGAGGAGTGTTGAGTAATGCCGCCATGAAAGAGAGCATGCGAGACGTACGTATCATTCTTCAATCAGGAAGGGGGCATTGGCATTTTTCGGTTTTGTGGTTTTGGATATTTTTAGATCGGATTTTCGGGTTTTCTGTTAAAAAGTTCGGTTTTTCGGTCTTACTGTTCATTTCTGTTTGCAGATTTTACGTGGTGTAGCATTTGGTTTTCGGTTTCGTCCAAAACACAAACGGGTTTCCGGAATTTTTTCCGGTTTGCCTTCAATCTGAGCGGCAATTAAGCGCTCCCACTGATGTCGAACAGCCACGAAGCGCAATGTTATGGAGAGGAGTGCGTGACAAACCAAATGTCACTTAAATAACTTTATCTTTGGTGAAATTTCGTAGGGATCCGTGAAAGGCACGTGTCTCGAATAGCGCCCGAGACTTTGATCGTGCAGCGTAGAGCACTTAGGTCTATCATTTTGCGAACTATGGCTTCCAACGTGCCTCAAGCGCCGGCAACGGAAGAAGCTCAAGGATCTCAAGAAGCATCCGTGGATTGTGTCGCGTTTTTCTTAACTAACTGATGAAATAATGCGCACCTCTCGCTTGCCTTCGTCCATGGTGGCACTACACAACACTCCTCGACACAGCCGTGAAAGTGACTACCTGGCCATGGGTCTTTTGAGCAAAAAAAAAATTCCCAGTGGGGCCTGCGCTCCATTATGTCACGCAGACTTTATTTTGGCTTGTCGCCCAAAATTTCTTATTTCAATTAACATAATCTGATCCATGATCCAATCCGTGATCCGGTCCGATCCAGATTTCGTAGACACGGTCATCTAGAGCGACTTGTTTGGTTTTCAAAATCGTCTACTTGTGGCAATAATGGCCAAGACTTCCGTATAGCTTCATACTTCATACTTGGATAAAGGAAACATCCAAGAAAACAACGGATTGCCTTTGGGACTACGGATTTTAGTTTTTTGTTTTTTGATAGGATGGATCAATGCGGTATTTGCCGATTATGTTCTCATCTTTCATTACACTCATCTTTGGGTATCAAGGGCATTTCTATAATGATTTCTCGTATAAATTTATCTTTGTTTGGATTTCACCTATGCCTCAACCTACAGGTAATGTATTAAACTGAAATTTTGTTCTTATATTTTCAGTGTTTACCTTCTTTCCTATTAGTTCTCGCTTCATCTTATAATGTTATTTAGATCATTCTTGTATTGACAGTAGCAGATTGTTGTGCCTTCTAGATTATTCAAAATTAGAGGAAAGCTGTTCTTGTTTTGACGAAATGGAAAACGTGAATTGTCTTTACATAACTACGATCTAAAATATTCTCCTTCAGGTGGCGGAAGTGTCACATGAGATGAACTACTTCGGTTAGGACAACATCAAATCCAAGTGAAGTGCTCCCCCCTGACATTGTATAGGTTTGTGAAGGATCCTCTACCACACTGAATTGGAACTACAGTCTGTCGGTAGGTTTAGGTCTTGTTGTCATAAAATTCAATGGTGATGGTATAGCCAGCATTAAAGCAGATGGTTCAGCTGGTCCTGTTACAGCCAAATTTTAGAAACGGTTCAGCCTAAGCTCAACTCCAGGAAGAGCTTCTCTGTTTATCTCCCCCGTGATTGCTGCTTATGATAAGGCAAATGGATATTTTGCTCGTGAGCTAATTGATTCCATAGCTAATATTTGCAAATGAGCAATTCATTTGCAAGTCCAAGGTAAGCTTAAAAGTGTTGCTGTCTTTTAGAGACCATGCACATCTTAACTGTAATATAAATTGTAAACCGATGTCCTCAATAGCTGGGTTTCCTTTAAATACAAAGTGAACTTGCAACTCTTTCTCATTGCAAAAAAACCTCAGTTTAAGCTAGTTTCCTGGACTTGAAGTTGTCAATTACATGATCAATCAAATGTTGTTTAACAGTTAACTACAGGTAGTTTTTAATGGTTTACTACATCGTTATATATTAAGATGAATTGTATACACATATGTTTAATTCTTTCTTATTTATGATCTATTGGAGCACAGACTCATAGGTGACATCACCATTTTGCCTCTATATTATATCAAACCAGTAGATTCTATGTTGTTGTATACCTGTTCAGTTATGGATCACAGATGACATTAAAATTTGGCGAGAACAAAGTGGCACACAAGGTGCAGCTGAGTGTGTCACTGATGTTAGAAACAATGCAATAAAGACAAAAGAA